ACCCGACATCTATCCGCAATACTCTTGCTCTTCGTATATATTCCCGGTAGTGTTTTGCGCAACCAGCGGCCCAAGCTCATATCGTCTTCATCCTGTTTGTTATGATGATTTGTACAAAATATTAAGACATTGACATACATTTTTTAGGAAATTAATACGGAGAGAGTAGTCGTCGTGTTAATCTATCAAGAGAATGCAAAATTTACAAAAAGAGCAAAAAAAAAAGTTACCGTTCTGTTCGGGAGCGCAGCGAAGTAGAGACACACTTGCCGGACTGCCTTGCTGTCGGATTCGACCGACAGCAATAAGCGAAAAATGCTCTGCGCCTCCTCATCGTCTACGACTATGTGACCGACGTGTCCCTGATGGTGTTGATCAGAGTGGGTCTAGTTTCTCTACACTAGCAGTATCTCTGACACTGACTATCGACCTCTTAACATGATCGAACTCGAGTAAAGGAAAGAGTTGATGATCTATGAACCACGAATGAGATGAAAAGCAAGAATGTCGACATGAAACACGTCGTGCTAACGTCGCTATGATTGGCATAAGCTTCGAATTAGTGAGAACAGTGCTGCTTGAACATGAACTGTGACTCTAACTACACCTAGTAGAAAGAGCTACAAGTTAGTCTGTAGCTGTACCTTCAAGCGAGTCTTTCCGTTCGCATCAGTCAAGCCTAGCAAATGGTAATACTTTTGCCAGATCTCATACTCTGCGTCTGCTAGATGGTCGAGAAAGTTTTTTTGCGACGTTGCGGTTGCGTCGAAAGTACACTGCGTAATAAGATGAAATAAGTGAAATAAAATTGAGTTGCTGGTAGAGTAGGAGTTCAGTTGTTTTGAAAGTGAAAATGCCGGAAAGTATCTATGTATAGGTACCTCCGTCATTCCTTCCTCCGTCTGAGGGAAATGATGTTCCGGCATGACGTCCTTGGCTTCGTCGCAAACGGTGCTGGTAGAAGAAGAAGTGTTCATAACCCTCACTTCATCTTCAGAAACGAGCGCGTCTGTCATGACTCTTCTTCTCTCAGATTCAAGAGATCGAAGACGGTCGTGTAGATCCCCGTTTTCTACCTCGAGGTTATATGAGCAACCATAGTAGTTAGACTAAATGTAAGACTTCGTAGCGGGTTTACTTCAGGAGTTGTAGTAAACATCATGAAGTAAGTAGTTGCATCTCTTTAAAGCAAAAAGCATCGCTCTCTCCCCTCATCCTCGAGCACCGTTTTTGTTCTCCTTCTCTGTCTCTTCCTCATGTCGGCGTCTCGCTTCTCACTCTACCTTTTTCTCCACTTTCTTCTAAGACTCTTGCTTCTATTCAGGTTTCCTCGTAGTTTCTCAAGTTCACGCCTTCAACATGGTCCTCCTACTCCATTTCCACTCCGCCTTATAGTATACCTCTTCATCACTTCATGTCGTGAGCTGCACCATGCCATAATTCTATTTTTTGCCAGATTAAGATGCAAACCGAAATGGAAAACTACGCTCAACCACACATCACCGATTTCATCATCGTTCCTCTAATGAAAACCATGTTACCGTGTTCTTGTGGTCTGAAGAACTTTTACTACGATGATGAAGAAGACAGATGCTTAGGCAGGAACAAGCAGACAAAGGCAGGCGGAAAAGAAAGCCAGTAGTAATTTTTCGTCTTCTGTGCTATTTCTTGTTTTAAGATTCCGTCCTTCAAATTAATACTTCGGTTTCCTTGCTCATACTCCCTATTTACAGAAAAAGAGACTCAACTTGCATCGCAGCACTTCTCCTGGTCCTGGAGTACGTGTTATTTTCTTTCTGGAGAATCTGGATTTCCGCCACCAGAATGGGACCATTTCTTTTGTGTTGACATGAGTCGATCTATGCATCTTATGTGACATCGATAAAAAAAGCAAAGAAAACATCCACACCTCAATCTAGTTTCTTCGGGTTCGAGGACATCCTTCAACAAGAGGCCAGAGACACAATATGAATATGACAGCTTGAGGAAACTCATCGGCTGTGTACCTAAGATATATTCCCTGACGATTTCGACTTAATAATAGTACTAAATTCATCATCTATGATGACACATCTTCCGTATAACGAAACCCTTTTAGCTCATTTCTTAATTCGGCCTCAGTCGCACCCTTGATGAACCTAAAAAAAATATCAATTTCTCTAAAAACCGCGTTCTTGGTCGGATTCTCAGATGATGGAGTTGCACATTCTATCCTGAGAACTTGACCCTGTGACACATATCGGAAACCACCGGCAGCATCATATTTGACATCTCCTATCTTCCCCAGTTTCCTGAGGTATTCTTTCACGCCTTGCACAGCCTTCTGTTGGCCTTCTGCGGTATAGTCAAGCAGGTACTCTTTTGAGAGGATAGCATCCTGGTGAAGCACGCTTTTCCGCCACTGGAATTGGTGTAGTACGACTTTGCGTGGCTGCTCTGTAGAGCCACGAATCTGACTTTCGAACAAAGCAGCAAGACCAGAAACTTCGTCTGGGCTAGCATTCTGATTCTGTGTCTCGCTCGGGCTGATGACCTTCATCCGCTCAAGGGCGGCAAGACTTACTACTCGTCGTTCGGCTTCAGCGTCGAAGTCATATCTGTTGCGGCACATTTGCACGAGCATCTTTTCGTTCAGAAGATCGACTTGTCCATTGTATGAGATCGCTGGTTCTGCATGCTTCTCAGGATTTGTTGTTACGAAATTGATGTAGTAGACCACATTAGGCAACTGGGCTGTCTTTGCAGGGTCCAGCCAATTGGTGTCGGGTACTCGACCATGACCTAAGTTTGCCATATCGTTGTGTGAAAGAACGGTGCAACTGATTAAGAGGGTTGGTATGAGGTTGTCGCGCGTGGTTCTTCCACAATGATCGCCTTCACACGCAGTTCCCGTTTTACAAAAAAATATACATAAGCTGACACTCTCATGACCTAACTCTTAATCAATGGACTCATACCCGTTTGTCGACTACCTGCACATTTTTTCTCACTGCTTGTAGTTCTTTTCCAAGAGCCTCCCTCCGGAAACCATCTGCAGTGCTTTCTGATATTTTCAAGAGTATGCTGGGAGGCACAAATGATACGCCAGCCGTTTCGCCCAAAGAGTCGAGTATATCGTGCATCTGTAGTGGCTCGTGTTTTAGGCGTAGTTTCACAAGTGCTTCTTGGACGTCTTCACGCACCGCTTCTAATGTGGCAATGCCGGAGGCAACGGCTGTCATGTGTTAGAGCTAATAACGTACGAAATGCGCACCCTATGAAGAAATTACTGCTTTCATGTAGCTAGAAGTGGAAGCAAACTCCTGCCTGTCTGCTCTTTCCACTTCTAGCTTCATCACATTATAAGTGGTAAGCGTGAGAGAAATGCCAAGAGCATAGTACAAGCATGATCTACCAAACTAGACCTAGAGCTAAAGACGTCATAATTATCTTCTTCAGGAGTAGACGGCGGGTTGATAGGCTCCGGCGCTGCCAGTAGTGCTCTTATGTTGTCCCTGAGGCCTGTCGCTGTTGCAGTGATGTCGCGTAATTGTTTCACAATACTTAGTCTCCCGTCTTGTTGTTGTTCTTGTTGTTGTTCTTGTTGTTGTCCTTGTTGTTCTTGCTGTTGTTGTTGTTGTTGTTGTCCTTGTTGTTTTTGCTGTTCATCTTGTTCATCTGCTTTGCGTTGTTGTTCACCTACTCTGCTTAAGGCACCAGCCTGCGCGCGTGTATCCTTCATCGATTCCTGCAGGGTCGACACCTCTGCCGAAATCGCGTCCTTCAGGGTCGACTTCGCTTCCGAAATCGCCGCCAAGATCTGTTCGCGGTCGCTCCTACCTTCAGCATTAGCAGTCTGGCTGTGTTAACTTATTCATCAAAAAGGAAGATGAAGTCACTCTGGTTCATCAAATGGAAGAAAATTAATTATACAGATACGTAGCACTTCTAGAACTAGTAGTGGTATCAGCAAACGAGATATTGTGGGACAAATGTTGCGTAAAAAGCTCATCTACAACTCCATGCTCCGAGGGGGCAACATATAAGTACATTATACTTCATTGAAAAACCATCAAAAAAACCCCCGAACACTCTTCACCTTTAGTGTGAACACCCAAAGACCCTGAAGACGCCGCTAAGGTGAATGCTAAAGGACCCCCTCCCCATGTAGTTTGAACACTAAAAGACCTCTAAGACGCCTCTAATGTGAACACTAGCGGGCATTTAGTGTGAACATTAAAGGACCCTTAAGACCCCGTTCGAGTGAACACTCAAAAGACCCTGAAGGCCCCTTCAGTGTGAACAGTAGAGAACCCGCAAGACGCCACCAGCTGGAAAAAATGCACAACAAGAACCACGAACAAGGCGCCACGAATAAGACACCACGAACATACAAGACACCACAGACAAGACGCCACAGACAAGACACCACAGACAAGACACCACGAACAAGACACCACAGACAAGACGCCACAGACAAGACACCACAGACAAGACACCACGAACAAGACACCACGAACGAGACACCACGAGCAAGACACCACGAACAAGACCGACACCACGAACATACAAGAGAGACTGCACCACGAACAGCACACCGCGGACAAGGAACCACGAACGAGACACCACGAAAAACACACCACAAACAAAGCACCACGAACAAGACCCCACGGACAAGACGCCACGAACAAGACACCACAACCAAGACACTACGGCCAAGACACGGCGAACAAGATAGACACCACGACGAACAAGACGCCACAAGCCCCGCACGGCGCTGCAGGTTTCTGCCTCCGCTGGCACGCGAGGCCCAAAAGAAGTGAACAGCAGAAACCAGCAAAAAACAGAAGAGAACAACACGAGACAACCACAACAGACGACAACAGAAAACAGCAAGGAGATGACAAGAGGCAACAGAAGACGACAGAAGGCAACACCGGAAGACAATAGAAGACGACAGAAAGCAACAGAAAAGCCCAACGACAACAACAACAGAGCAACGACAGCGCGCGCCGGGAGCCGCTAGGCAGGCGGCGAACGAGCGCCGCAGTGCTGGGATAGAGGCCCGAAAAAACCGCGACGGGGGTAGAGACGCGCGCGCCGCTGCAGAAACCACGCACGCGAGGCCTCTCGGCTACGAGCGGGTAACGCAGTAGAGAAGAGGCCCGAGACAGTCGCGACGGGAGCAAAGACGCGCGCGCCGCTGTACAATGCGCAAGGAAGACCCTGGCGAGCAGGTGGCGCAGGGCAGTGGAATACACAGAGCCCCGAAACAATCGCGACGGAGGTCGAGACGCGCCGTCTCCCGGGGCGCCCAAGCCCGGGGAGTGTTTATGCGTATCTTTTAGTGCCCTCTGCTACAGACTTTGACTCGTCAGTCCAAGTGCAAACTTCGGTCGCCTTGGTCAAGCTTTTGACATTCAACAAGTAGGACTAGAGGTATAGACGCTCGGCGATGTCAGTATTTTCGCTAGTGTATCGCGAGGCACAAATAAGGGGGCACCGTCATTGTGCCTAGCAGTGCTTTTCATATCGATTGGAATGTTGTGCATTTGCAGCGGCGGGTGATTTAGCTCTTCTAGTGGCAGGAGTCCTGCTTGTACTTAACTTTCGACTCCGCCAACGCCGCGGGTTGTGCTTCCTGCTGTTGCTGCCGTCGTTTTTCTACTTCTATTAGAGCGCACCCTAATCCATCTCGAAACTCATCCTGAGAGCGTTTTCCCCTTGAAAACGTCTCTGAGATGCATCCGAAAATGGATCAGAGTGCGCCATAATTCTAAAACTTGTTCTACTTTTTGACGCAACTCCCATATAATTCCCTGGGATACTTCTGTCTGCTGTCGATGTCGTGCTTGTAAAACTTCTACTTGTTTCGCCTCCTGACGCAACTCCTTTATTTGTTCTCGATCGGATACTGTAATCTGCTGTAGCTCATTTCCATTTGCTGAAACTTTGTCAGAAAATACCTCTCCTAATTTTGCCACTACTCCACTCACCACTCCATCCTGTTGTTGTTGTTGATGCGCTTGAATGCTGTTTTTGATTACCGCTTCTAATTTTGCCACTACTCCATTCACCACTCCGTCCTCTTGTTGTTGTTGATCTTGATGCAGCGCTTGAATGCTGTTTTTGATTTCCTCCAAGCCATTGCGAACGTCCTTGCTCAAATTCCAAAAACTTATGAAGAAGGGGTGAGTGACGAGTAACAGTGTCGGCAATCTTCAGCGTAAGCAGTGGTGACATCTTCAACCTAAGACTCCTATCTTTAGAGGTCGTCGTCTAGCTGCTAGCTTGAATAGGAGGTGGTCAGGATCTCGCGGAACCAGAACAGGTGAGCCTACTACATTACGTTATACTCTGCCATATGATCCACACCAGGAAACGACGTTTCCACGGCTTCTCTTTCTGTGAAGCTCGAAACCTTGCCACTTGGAGCCACGGATATCAACGAATTCGGTGCCTCAGCAAAGTCTTCGCCTTCAATAGTATCGGTCTCAGGTGAGCCGTCTGGATCTGTAGGTGGTAGTGATATATGTCAATATTGTCAGAATTTTTGTCATATGGCTTATAGTCATCAGTCCTGTCTACTACTACTTCAAGTTCAGGAGCTATAAGTAGAACAACAAGTAGATCATGAAGAACAAGTTGATGAATGAATGTTGATCGAACTCCAGACTACAAGTTATAGTTTTATTAGGTAGTAGGATTGTGATGCGCTCCACCACACGGATCGGCACTATTGCTAGTACATTGCTCGCCGACAGCATCAAACATGCCTGGTTTCCCGTTAGCGTTATCACGTGACTGCACGTCACCCACTTGCGAAAGCAATGCTGGTATCACCACATGCACAAAAATATGCTTACCACACCAACGCTGTGAGTAGTTGTGCGTCGTTGTGAATAAT